CGTAGGGGGAGGTCGGTGAAGCGGCCTTGCCCGAGGGGACGGGGGTCTGCAGGCAGCTGCGCGCTTTAGCCCGTTGTAGGGGCGCCGTGAGCCTCGCTTGACACAAAAACAGCGGCGCGGTGCGTTCGGTAGCTTCCCCCCACCTGTGAAAGCTGGTGGAGATAGAGATTTGTCTAAAATCTGATAATTCCGACTGTGATGGCCCAGACTGCACCTCCCGTCACACGGCACAAATGTCAGCCGGCCGCTGTCGCTTCTTGTGACTCCTTTATCGCTAATAACAGGGGGCATGGCAGGTCTCTGAGTGTTTTAATCGAGTTGTAAGGAGCGTCCTTCTCACCGCTTGCTGTTTTTCTCCCATGCTAGCTTTTGCACTCCGTGCCTGCAGGAATGTCTCAAGCCGAAAAAGCCTGTTTGCGGCGTCTGCCGCAGTACCCTGTCTCCTGGTAGCAGAGCTCTGGACCTGGAGAAGCAAATTGAAATGACGGAAACCACTTGCAATGGCTGCAATAAAAAGGTAGGAAAGCGTTTGAAAACCAAGTGCCTGAAGTGTTCCTGTTCAGTCCTACAGCTTAGAGGGAAGTAAAGTATTTGCTCTTCAGCTTTCTGCAACAACAGGTCAAATGCTTTTTTTAAGTACTACAGGCACTTTTTTTTTGTAAGTCGTTCCTAAATGTTGACGTTTTTCCACAGTCTTTATTGTTACCTCCCTAGGAAGTGAATTCTGAGTGTGAGATGCTGTGTTGGTTTAAAAATAATAATAAAATATTGCTACGAGGATGTCTGTGGGTGTAACGCTGTAAGGAAATGGTGAATGTGGTTTTAAACACTGAGAGCCTAGGCTTTTAAACAGAAGAACTTTGTTTGCTTCCTCAGAAATAGTTATGAGACAAAGCTGTCCTATATGAGCAGTATATTCCATATATTTTACTGTTTGGTAAAATCCTGCATATGAAACACTTAGAGGACACCCTCTTATCATTTACTTCCTCTTTGTAAGTTTGGGCTTCTTAGCATTGTCCCAATATACGGGAAAATATCTTGACAGATGGAAAGACAGCGAGAAAAGGTTAATTAGATGCATATTACACCAAAACTGCAGCTTTGTAGTTCATATGGTCCTGTATCTAATCCTCAGATTAATTGGTTCACTTGTAAAGCTAAAATCTTTAATTTAAAACTCATTAAAGAATGTCATTATGCTAACTGAACTTTTACAGCTCTCTTTTTATTAAAAAAACAAAGTTCCTCATCTCCTGCACTACTGCTGTTATATATTTCTCATAAACAAGGTGAGAGTATCTGTTCTGTTAGTTTCACTTTTGATTTCTGAGTAGTATCACCTTTTTTATTCTGGCTGATATAAAATTGCAGTCCCTTGACTTGTAGATTTCCTTACAGGAAATTTCAGTTTTCATTAGTGGGATAATGCTTGAAACACGATTGTCAGACTTGCACTTGGTTTTTGATGGAGGCTGATACATTAGCTATATCTTTATCTCGCATCTACTGCTAATCAGTATCTAATCCTCCTGAGTTATTGCCTATTTTTGTACCTCTTACTCCTCCTAAAAACACTGTTCTTTCTAGCTTGGATAGGGTTATTAAGATTCGGATCTAATTTAAAGCATGTTTGAAATCGATTGTTAGCCAGACTTCAAGCATAAAATGGATTTTTGCAAAGAAAAAAACCTTCAGGCTTTTGCAAGTAGAAATTGTGAAGTCAGGTTCGTCTCCGTTCCTTCGTTGTACGTGCTGCGTATCTGACAACGTTCTGCAGTACAGATCTTGGTGTAGATCAATTACAAAAAGCGAAGCTATTACCCGTATTGGCTCTTCTCCTGAGCAACCAGATAAACTGGCTTTATATGAAACTTTTATATTACAGCTTAGGAAAAGTGAGCTGTCCTGAACAGCATGGTATTGGTAACATATTACAGGCAACAAAGTTACTGGTTAACTAGTACGTAGTCTTGACAGTTTTCTGTCTCATCAGCCTAATTGTTTTTCTGTTTCAGCATTTTCTATAGAAAGCCTATTTCTTTTGCGTATCGTTTACTTCTTCTGCCTAAAAGCCTGAAAGTGAAAGTGACTGCAAGTAGTTTAAACTGAGTTTGCTGTTTAATTGTTGTCTCTCCAGATGTATCTCTCAAAGATGCGTAGCCATGCAGCTTCTTGTTCAAAGTACCAGAATTATATAATGGAAGGTGTAAAAGCTGTAACTAAAGAACCCCTTAACAACACCAGGTAACTAGCTCTTCTCTTGACGTGCTATTTTTTGATACCACAAACTGGGCTGTAAATATTTAATCATTATGAAACTTAAAAATTGATTCTTGCTCTGAGAACAGTCCTTTTATCTTGTTTAAACAAAAGTTGACTGTGTTATGATGTGTCATGCAAACTGTAGAATACTGGAGTAAAAGCAGACTTTACCTCTTCACTCAGTTTGGGTGTTAATTCTTTTAATCCTCTCATATTGTTAAACTAAGCCTTCAACCTAACAACAGACTATGCACAGGCAAGCTGTTCTAATTTGTGATGTTATCCATGGATGTTTTAGTGCAAGATCAGGGTACTTAGTTAAAGGGGGGTGGGAGAGGTGTTAAGTAATAGTTTTGTCTTTCTGTCTCTTGATTGTAGTAACTTACAATGAAGGGAAGTTGCAGTGAGCCGCATTGTAGCGTGTTGGGTGTGTGACTGTGCCTTTTTAAAAAAATATATATATAAGAAAGCAAACTGATAAATGGCATTTGTAACATTTGTAAGAGAAGTAGTTTTGTATAAATATGGATGATATTAAAAGTTCTTTAAGATATCATTAGGAATAAAGAAGCTGATTCTTGAAATTAGCTTGCCTTAATTGCGTAGAATGAAATTACTGCTTTGAATAATTTGTATTCTAAATAGCTGGTAAGATAAGTAGTTATTCCCAATGTTCTTAAGTTTAGCTTTCCTGAAACAGTCTCTTTTTCCTCCCTGCAACCAGGAACTTTCCAAATCGCTTTACCTTTCCTTGTCCGTACTGTAGTGAGAAAAACTTTGATCAAGAAGGACTAGTTGAACACTGCAAAACACTGCACAGCCTGGATGCAAAACAAGTGGTAATAATGAGTCTTGATTCAAGAATTGCAATGAAGTCTAGTCTTAAATCCCTTTGAAACAATGAATTAGAGACTTGCTGCTTGAAGTTAAGTACATGTTTATAATCGCTTCTGTTAAAGTCAAGTGTGGGTATGCTGTTCACGCACTTAAGTTTTACTTAATTGTGGTTTTGGAAACGTTTGCTGGAGGTGACTTTCTCTAGTCCTATTGTAGTTCACATCTTCCTTTTCTTATTTGAGAAATGGCAGGCATTTGAAGTAAATTATGCATGCTAATAAGCATAATATCATTCATATAATTTCAAAAAGATATTTACTGTTATTTAAGATCTCTCTATGCTATTCTCAGCAAGAAGATCTGTTATAAATGCATGTGAAAAATACTTGGAAAAAGTTGCATCTCCCTCTAGTAATCTTTATCTGCTTTTGCTCCCTCACGTACAGGAGGAATCGCAAAACTTGGAACTCACTTTGAAACTTTCATTTGTCTTGAAAGTGTTTTTTGGAATTCAAAATTATTAATTTAGGAAAAAAGTTCACTTCTTTCACTTTGAGAGAAGTGATCTTTGCAAAAGAGTTCAAGGAAACTGCTCTATTATTGAGAAAAGAGGGATGAAATCGCCACAGTAAACACTGTACTCAATAATTCTAATTTCCAGTATATAGGGAGAAGACCCTAAACCATTCCAGTTCAGAGGTCTAAAAATCAAATGGAAATAATGTAGGGTTATCTGAAATTTTTTTATTGACAGTCCTAGTAAAGTAATCTAAAATCACTTTACATATAGAGTAGTGACTGTCGCAAACCTCAGGCTTTAGTCTTCCATATTGTCTCTGTCCTGCCCTTCCCAGTGTAAACGTTAAAGCATTTAATCATTGGTACTTAATTGGCTTTCTTGTTGGGTGGTTTTTTTGTTTTTTTTTTCTTGAAGGTCTGCCCAATTTGTGCCTCAATGCCATGGGGAGATCCAAATTACAGGAGTGCTAACTTCATGGAGCACCTTCAGAGGCGTCATCGCTTTTCATACGATACTTTCGTGGTATGTGTTTTCTTGCCTTTGGAATACAGGCTGACTCTTAAAATCCAGCTTTTTTGCATAGCTGCTACTGTGAAATCTGATTTGTGCAGATGATGTCTCAATAATCAATTTATCCATTATTTTAGAGAAATTGTATTATTGGCAAGTCAAAGGATGAGGCAGCTATTTTCTGAGTTTTCTTGGTGTTGAACTAACTAATGTGGCTGTTGCAGTATGGCTGAGTTTCTATACCCTTTGTTCATAGGATTATGATGCTGATGAAGATGATATGATGGCACAGGTTTTGATCCGTTCTTTGCGTGATAAATGAAACAAGTAGAAGATTAACTGTAAAACCAAGCTTCCACGAGGGGAGAAGTGCCCAGCATCATTGCATTTCTCCCTTTACATCCCAAGATGAACTCAGGCATCCAGAAATATGGAAGATTCTTTATCTATCTCTTGATTTCAAATCCTGATTTGGTCTTTCTGTATCATTTGGTCTCTTGTTAGCGTGTTCTATGCTGTTAAACCATGTCAGCCTAGTTTTCTTACTAGCTTCACACAAAGCTTAATGATAGGTCAACATGAAGGAGACAAGTTTGTTTTCTCTTTCCTATGCTTGTTTTTCTGCAGTTGTGTTCATTTGACTCTCTTTAAAAGCAAAAACATTCCAGAAGGAATGGCCTGAGTTAGTAGGTAGATAACTCTCCCCAATCTCTCATTCACATTTCTTGAATGATAGTTTCAGAGATGTATTCACAGCTCTGTTTTCATTCAGTAAGAATGCTAGGTGTTAACTGTAATTGCCAGATCAGTTCCCATTTAAAGTGGCCTATGATTACTGTGACTTCGTAATGTTTACCAGTGTTTGAATTCATATAGTCAGCCTCTCAACTGTATGGAAAAGATATCTTTAGTACAGATCTTCAAACTGCAATCTTCTCTAGCAAATCTGTGCAACTGTGTAAGAAACTAGTTCAAAATACTTTAGTTCCATGCCTGTTATTTTCTTCCATACTCTGACAAAAATGGTTTGTAACCTGGAAAATAAACTTTTATTAGTCTTAGTTTAAAAAAAGATGCATTTTAAGTATTATATCAAACAGTAATCATGTTTGTTGGCTTTATGATTAATTTAATGACTTTGGCACTAGTTTTCTAGCGTTTTAATTTTAAGCCTTATGTTGACAGAAGGAGTCAAAAGTTTTTTTTTTTAAATACTGCTGCTTCCTATTTAATCTAAAATTTTCACTTATATATTTAGTTTTTCCATCCCTCAGGGCAAGCTGGTTTAAAAAAAAAAAAGAAAGAAAAAAATACTTTTAATCCCTGGTGCTCGTGCAGCACTACCTTTCTGCCTTTCAGATTTTAGCAAGTGTTTTGAATTCCTGTCACTAAAGTAGCTGAAGCTGTACTTAGATTATATTTTCCATATAATGTATGTATAATATAGAGGTATAGCTTTCAAAGAAAAAAATAAAATAGAAACCAGAAAGCAGGATGATTGTTCCAATACATGGTAAATGGATACATTCCGTTATACGCTTTTACTATAGAGCTTCCTTTTCTTAGTTTAGCACTTCGTTAATTAAACAATCAAGATACTGAGAGCTAGTCAGCCGAGGCACCTGATGAGAATGTGTAAATCAGTGTAGTATTGAGATGTCCCGTCTAATTTAACTTGGATGCTTAATTAGAGCAGTGGACCTGCACAATCACAGAGCTCGCTAACTAATGTGGCCAACAAACGTAACTTTGCACTCTGCAGATGGCAGCATAGCCTTACCCTAAAACAGTAAGTAATGTAATATAATCCAGCTCAAACCTCTTGATTAAACTTTGTGTCCAGCCAGACCTCTTAATATATTTAATTTGAATTTGTTTTTAGTACATTTTCACAAACTTGATACGGACTAGTATAGACTCATGCTTAAGTATATGCTTGGTGACTGGAAGCTCAGTCTTAGGAAAAAAGTCTCATAGTACTGTGGAGAAAGTACTGTATTTTGGGTTTGGTTATTTTTAAATGCTTAATCTGCAAAGAGATTGCAGTGTATTAGTGGCTGCGTGGGGACTTCTAGGTTCTAGCTAGAACCAAGTTTTGTGGTACTGATTGACCTGAATCTAGATTTCTGCTACTATTCTAAGTGCACTTCCATGAAATTCTGATAAAATGTTTCAGGAGCAGTTAGAAGCTTCCGAGCAACTACTTTGTCATGTTTTTGACTTTTGAAGACAAGTTATAAATAAAGTTCATATAATTTATAAAATGCTATCTTCATGTGAACTTCTGTCATTTTCTCCTCGTCGTCCAAACACTTTATTATAGCACCAGCATAGAACCGGTTCTTGCTGGCTGTGTAATGCTGCATGGAGCGCGTTAGAAACTGAGTAATGTACAGGCTACAGATTCTTCTGCTATGTATTTTGTCCTGATTTGTTAACTGCAGCTTCATTTATAATCTTTCAAACAATGCACCAGATGGGTTATGAAAAGCGGTTCAGATACATTAGTTTGGCTAGAACTATGCTGAGTCAGAGGAATAAACCCACCGATTTTCTTAGGTAAATTCAGAAGGTTTTATTGTCCCGGAGAGTGTTTGGGTGGGTTTGTTGTTGTTTGTTTGTTTAATTCAATCTTTATAACCCTCAGCTTGAACTCTTCTTGCCATACGTTTTGCAGTGCAGTGTATCCATGTGTTATCCTCAGTTTGAGTAGGTCCAAATGAAGAGGTGAAAATTAGAGTGGCTCATAGCAACGGTTGGTCAGAAATCTAGTTGTTTGTGCTAAATGATCATACCCTGACTGCTGGTCCAGATGCATTTGTTGACTTTGATGCAACTGCGATTTGACTTCCAACTTCTTATCTGAGAATTATTTCATACTTTCCACAGCCTTATAATAGTGGTAGCAAGCAATGAGCTGGTTGGAAAATGCACACAAAATCTACTTTAAGTTTGATTAAACTTGTGTATGAATAAGAAGTAATATCAGCCTAGCACCTGCTAGGTTGATAACAATGGAATTTACAGCGTGGATGTGATGAGCATCCATACAACCATTCAGAGAGAAACTGAGCAGTAGATTTGTATTTATTATTCCAGGTACTGAAGAGCTTTGTGTCTCTATGCTGGCTTCATCAAATTAACCAACGAACTTGTTTACACGGGTTGTCAGATATCTTACTGATACTTACTGGTTGATTTGAAGAAGAAAAAAAACCATATTTGTTCTGTGTGTAACCTTGGTTCATCTAGCTTATGTGCAAAAACTCTGGATTAAAAAAAACCTTCCTGTACAAGCTAGTTTGGGCTTCTAAATCCAGTATAGCGATGCTGCACAGGAGTGAAGTGCTCTGGCAGAGCTGCTTTCACCTCGTTGTCAGCAGCTGATCTTGTACCCGTAGAAAATCCCAAATGCCCATTGTTGGCGATAATTTAATCGGTCTACCTGGGAACTGTGAAATTCCCGGTGTCTGGCACCAGGAGACAGCGTTAGGAGGGTGATTAGCGCTGAGGCAGAAGGACAGAAGGGGAAGAGACAAGAAGACAGTTGGGCTTCTATTTTTTGGAATGAATCTAGCTCCAGTCAAAGGCTGACCTTAATAGGTCTGATAAATTGATGTCAGCATTCATTGCCTAACACAATCGGCATCACTTCATCTGGAATTACAGCAGTAAATCCCCCTGATCTCCTTATGCTGGGGGATGAGATCTTTTAAAGGACCCTGTCTATAATAAAGCATTGACAGTATATTCTGGCTTCTAAGGTCACCTGATTAACAAAGTCATAACAAACTTGCTTCAGTGAGGCCTTTAGCCAGATACACTTGGATGGTCACCGGTGAGATTAACGCAAGGAGGACTGACCTCTCATGGTCAGGATTTTTACTAATATTTATAGTATCTCTTGGCATCACTTTGTGAGCTACACCCCCAGCAAGGCTTGAAGTCTTCAGAAACTTTGAACTATTGTTTTCAAAGCAGTTTTGATGCTTGGTTGCTTGCAGCAAAAGATTTGAGAAGAGGGAAAGGCTTGAAAAAGAGTAATCGTATACCTCAGTGTCCATTTTCAGGAGGAGAAGGTTATGTTCTCTGCTGCTGCCTGATAATGTCAGTAATATGTTTGCTACCGCTGTCACACCAGTAATACCAGGAATACATTAAATAACGAAGTAGCAAATTAGGCTTATGCTTGCAGTCGTAAAATTTTTCTATACTTTAAATGTAGTAAAACTGACAATGGGGTGTTTGTCTGAGGGTTCTTGGGGTTTTGGGGGTCGGTGTGTGCGTGGTTTTTGTTTGTTTTTTAAACTCAGAGCTTCACATCACGCTTCCATTAATTTGGGCTTGATTTTTCAAAAGCAGCTAATTTCTTTAATGGGTCAACCTCATTGTGTTCCAGGTAATGCACGTGGGGGCAGTTGAAACCACTATGAAAACTTTCTCCTTCTCCCCAAAAACTCCAGAAAAGACTCAGAGCTAAGTGAAAATACACGTTGCTGCTACAGGACTTGGGTCTTCCCATCTAGTTCTCAAATTTGTTTTATCTAGTATTCAGATACTGGTCTTTTTTTTTTTAAAAAAAAAAAAACCAACAACAAAAATAGCTATTGCACTGGAGTTTCTGGGAGGTGTTTTAGTATCCCTGATGCAATGTAGTTCTCTTCCATAATCAAGATGTAAGGAGAATAAAAATACGTTGGTTTGAAAATGACCCAGTTCTGAAGCAGTATGACAGATTTCTGTGGTTGACAACAAAGGACACCACCTTCTACCCTGATTTTTAGGATGGTATCAGTGTTTATCTTTAAAGCTGAAAAAGGCTCATACTCTTTACTATGTTAATTAGGTAGTTTAGTACTGATCATATCTGGACGCCTAGCCCTATACATCTAATTTAATGTTTAGTGAATGTCATTAAATTCCCTTGATTGCGTTCTTGTCTAAAGCACTGCGGCTCCAAAGGAGCTATAATTGCCTTTAGACAGTAGAGGGAGTTCTTGCAGTTTATGAAGTATGCAGTAACTGTTTTTAGCCAATATGAACTGGAGATCTTTCACATCCCTGTCCCGTGTGCTTTTCACATGTAATTTGTCACCAATTTCTTTTTTTTTTGTAGTATATTTCATAGAACTACTCCAATATTGCTATAGCAGGGCAGTATCAGTGTAAAACTCATTGTTGATTCATGAGTCTGAATTAAAAAGAGAGACGGGTATTGGATGTAGATTGTCTCGTTAGGGCATTCATTTCCTTTTTTTTTTTTTTTTGTAACCAAAAGGTCCGTTTGCATTGTTATGTTCTTTCATTGTAGGAGCTTTGCTCTGTAGCAGGGAATTTGAAATGCTTTACATAGCATTATGGGACCCAAGTAGGTAACAGTAAAAAACTTGCAATAGATTTTTCTGCCGTGGGGGTGGTTAGTGTATGCTTTTGAGCTCCTTTAAGCTTAAAACTGTGTGGGTTTCAAACTGGAGCTATGCCACAATCTGGTAGCAGGGCTGCTCTGACCACCCCTGAAGCTCAGCTGCCTCCCTAGCCCTATACTGCAGTGAAGGGGTGGGACGTCTGAGAAACCACTGCCGTTTCCAGCCTGTGAATCATTTCAGAGCTTCCCCGCCCCTCTGTTCTCCCTGTTCTCTGTCCTGTAGCTTTCTGGCTCAGAGGCACAGACAGGTTGCTCTCCTCCCTTCATCTAGATTTTTCCTCTAGCAAATGCAATTTTTTCCATGTGCACTAGCAGTGGTTGGAACCGATCTTATCATTAACATTTCAGAAAGAACAGAAGAGGTGTCTTTGCCTCTTTAAAGAAAACCACTTAGTTGGATACCTTATGCAACTGCCCCCAATGCCTAACCACATCCGCAGCAGGTGTAACGGGCACGTGGAAGGCATCAGCAAGCAGCCAAGAGAGCGACCTGGGACAGCAAGTTGGTGCTGCCTGATGCTCTGCAGGATGTGGCACTTTGGCTCTCCCGCGCACCTGAGGGAAGCAGGGTGGGTCTGGCCCGCGTGATTCACATGCCCCGATGCCTTCAGGGGCAAGTTTCCCCTGAAAGCTGACTTCAGGGAAGGTGATCCAGGGATGAGTTACGCAGATAAACACCCCATGCCTGCCAACAGCAGATACCTCCTGTGAGAGCTCCCAACTGAAAGCTGAGAGCAGCTCTGCAGCAGAGGAGCAGAGGCAGCTCCAGAGGATGTGTGGGCAGGGGGAGAGTTTGCAAACACACCTCCTCTGCGCACGGTGGTGTGTCACTGGCAACAGCAGCAGCTTTCCGAGCTGTTCCCACCCTGAGCAAAGACTCGCTCTCAGTTGAAATCCCTGGACTGCAGTCTTGCCAGTGGAAAGCTTTGCTCGCCACTTCTGCATTTCACGGGCTGTGGCTAAACAGCAACGTGTGGTAACCGAGGGGCTCGAGACAAGCTCTGGCGGGAGGAGTGATGTGTGATGCGTGAGTCACGAGCGTCCTGGCATCACGGGCCCTCGCTTGGGTGGCGGGAGGCTGGAGCTGGATGCGAGCAGCGAGGCGGTCCCGCCCCCGTTTCTCCTCCCTCCCTCGTCCGCTCGCCGCCAGCAGCTGTCTTGGAACTGGGGCTCGCTCCAGCCTCGCGCAGCAGGTGCCTGGACCCGTGCCCTGAGCTCTTCCAGCGGGGGGAAAATCCAAACGTGAGAGGGAAGAACAGGATGAGCCGGAAGCTGGGGCTGGGCCTCTTAACTGCCGAGCCGGAGGGACAGCTCAGGCTCTGCTCACCACTTTCCCAGGACCTGCTCGCTGAGGCTTGGGCACCTTCCCTTGGACAAGGGTACCTTGGGAGCGGGAAGCTAAAAGAGAGCATGTTTCTCCCTAGGGCTGTTTTACACCCATAGGCTGCCTAACCCAGTGGGGAAGGAGGGAAGAAAAGCCTCAAGACCAGCTTGCTGGGGGAGGGTACAGGGCCCCAAACCTGCCTGGCCCGCGTGCAGGGCAGAAGCAGGTCTGGGCATGTGCTCCTGAGCCCTGCCTGCGCTCGCTGGGGGAGTCACTCCTGGCTGCGACCCAGGTAGGGCTAAGCTGTCTGCTGCCAGCAAAGGCAGGGCTGAGTCCGGCCCTGATCCTCCACAAATCGTTTCCTCTCTTAACGGTGGATTAATAACCTTTGGCAAAGTGTGCTCTGTTTTTCGGCTGCCTCCCAGCAGGGCTTTTGGAGCCGCGGGGCAGGGTAGAGGCTTGTCCCAGTCTGCACCACAGCCCAGCGCTGGGGTGGTGGCAGGGGCAGCCAGGAGCGTG